AATATTATGTTTTTCACCATGAATTATGCAAAATCTGTTTTGACATTGTTCCAAGATGTCAAGAGCATATTCCCTACAAAATTCCACAAATTTAACCATAATTTTATCTCCACTTGAAGAACTAGCCTCCATTTCTTCATGGGTCACATCTCCTTGTAATTTAATGGACCTATAATGATCAAATCGAAGCTTCCCAAGGTAAGATGCAACTACTTCAGTGTTTATCCTGCCCAGACCCACCTTACAATTGAAAACAAAAATAGTATCCTTTGTAGCAAAGGCGACGTCAATCTCTGAAGCGTCAACATTAGCACTTGCAGTCTTGATGAGAGTCTCATCAACTTCTAGGGTATTGCTAGCAACTCTTAGGTTTGATGGGTCTAAACTTATGTTTTGGGGTTCGAGTAAGCCCGACTCAATATCATTGTTAACATAAAAAAGACTTATGTACCTGTGTGTTGGTCCAGAAATATTTTGGGCCCGCTCCATTATGCTTGCAATCTGGCCCATATCTCCTAAGCCTTTCATTGACCTAACTGTGTTTCTCTTTTTCGATGCGTCCTGTTCTTGCGTTTCACCTTCCTCCCCAACCATCATTGTTCCTGCACTTAGTTGCCGCCATCCACCGCTTTCGAGGTCCAAATCTAGTGGTTCCAACAACGAGGGTGGGTCAATCACTATCGCCTTTGGAAGTGGCAGCGCCATCACTTGCGCAACTCCCTTTACTAGTTGAAACTGGTCTGAATTTTTCTCACACTCCGTCATCGATGGCTCCACCGCTGCGAGCGGCTATTCTAGCGATGGTGTTGGTGAACCTTCTCCCTCAAATATTTTGTGGATTTTCTCATCTCCTTCCTTCTCTTTCAATGGTGTCATCTTTGCCTCTGACTTTAATTCAAAGTTGAAAACTTCATGCTCTGTTTCAGCTTCGTCATCTTCCAAGCAAACTTCCGGTTGAAATTCCTTGAAGAAAGTTTTTAAAAATGTCCACCAACTAACCTTTGGATTATACCAGTATCGGTACTAGAATCGAGCTTGACCGGTGAATGCCTTCCTAACTTCCCATGGCTTTTCATTATCCGAAATTTCGTTTGCCTTGAAGTACTGCTCGACCTGGATCGACCATCGCCACGCATCTTCCTCACCAGAAAATATAGGAATTCTGATTTTGCAAAATTGCTTTGCCATTTTTTTTTTCAAAGCTTCCCAGATCAGAGAGCTCTGATACCAATTGATACTGACCAACCAATTTGATGGGAACAAAAGAACAAATCGAAGAAACAATTTGAATAATACCTCGAGAAATGGTACATTGATATGAATCAACAGTTACAGTATTTCAATAAGGAACATTACAATAACAAGAACAATGTAGTTTTATGGGAATTTCAATAATAGTAATGAAAAATGCAGAAAGAAGAAATGGATAATGTAGAGCAATTGGAGAGGCTCTACTCTCTCCTGAATTTCAGGTCCAAGCAATATCCAAGATGTCTTACACCCATGCACACTACCCTATTTAACCTACACCCATGCACACTACCCTATTTAACCAACCAGACCCTCCTCAACAATCTCTCCAATTTTGTTATCCAAGTCAGCCACGTCAACTAGGCTGGATCAATTCCACTCCCGGCATGTGTTGCACCTTCTAACAGAATACCTTTTTGCTGACTAGGATCGTATCAATAAACAATTCCGCTTATATAATCTTTAGAAACAGAAGGGAGAACTTTTCATTACTGTTGATAAACAGTACGAGTGTCTAAAAAGAAAATGGTTACCCCCACCTAACCCACATTTTGTAGCTCAAAAGGCGAATTCGCATTTTTCATATGTTCTTGTGTTTTCACTCGTATCAAATGCCACCTTAATTTCTATCACGACTGCTTCTCAAAAAACTTGTCTTATAATAATTCATATGTTGTGTAGGGAAAGTTCAGGCAAAAACGTGTTTACAATATATGCAGGTAATATAGTTCATAGGAGAAACTCGTATATATATATTAGATCACACACCAGTACGAGAATAAATCTTATATATTACATACACCAATATATAACTAAGTATAGATATTAGACATGGCTCTTGATGGAGGAACTGTATCCACTCTGACCATCATAGTATCTGGACCACAGCATAACGCCTCCATATTTGGAAGAACCCTTAATTGCTGGAAGCACTTTGGAAGTAAGATCAGAGGCAGATATGAATCCACTGCCTGCAGCCTCAGGTGAAGCTGGTAACCCCAAGAAGATCTTTTTGGCTGGAATATCTGATGTCCACTGTTTCCATGCATCTTCAAGATTGTTAAATGCAGTTGGACTGTATTGGCAAGGAGGGTTGTTGTAGAATTGGACCCAAACACAATCAAAAAGACCTGTCTTGAGGGCATTTCCTATCCAAGCATCAGGAAATGGGCATTGAGGAGCTGCTGTCAAGTACACATTTTTGCCTTCCTTGCTATATCCTTTGAGGTACCTGGCAAGGTCATCCCAATATAAGTTTGAGCCTCCTTCAATGTCAAAGTCAATGCCATCAAGAACAGCAGGCCCAAGTGGCCTAGAAGAAGAGTGTCCCCCCAAGAAGTTATTCCAAAGGTAAGTTGCTACTTGCCTTGCATCCTGTGGGGATGCAAGTGAGTAGCTACCGGCACCTCCTCCCAAAGACAGCAATACCTTGATGCCTTTGGCTTGGCATGATTTTATGTCAGTGCTTAACCCAATGCACCCCTTACTGTAGGGATCACAATGCCCAGCTAGATTTATCATTGGAGTTTGGCCATTGCCAAATGTTGGTAGAAAGGCCAAGATAACAAACTCATAGTTCCCAGTGGAACAAGCCTCTGCTAGTGTGCCTTCATTACCATTCTGCCCCCAGTAGATAGCAATTCCACCAGCATTTGCACAATTTGCTAGTGCTAACAGTATCAAGGACAAGAATGAGATTGAGATTGCCAATTTTGCCATTAACAAGTAGCAGCCAAAGTCTATTTAAGCACCTAAGCAAGTATGTGAATAAACTCAAGCTGATTTTCTTTTGCAGAACCATGCTGTCAGAGAAGGGCTTTTTATAAGGGTAACATGCCTCTAATCCTAAACAGTTTGTTTGCTGTAGTTGCTCTTCAGAGCGTGGATTGGCAGTCACTGCGTCCCATAATCAGTCCAATATATCAATCATTGATGTCGACATTAGGGAAGCAGCGTGCAAATTAGCCATTATCAACTTGCTCTTGTCCGCTTCTGCCTGAGGATTTCTTGCATTGCATTATTGCAAATGCAATCAATACACCAGTCAGATACAACTGGAGTGGCAGATAATTTATTATATTAGCTACTTACAGTGATAGAGTTACCATGTATTCAAAGAAATGGGTTAACGACGGAGTAGTTGAATTTATGATGAACCGGTTGGAAAAAAATGATTTATTTGTTTTCGATGAATCTACCAATTTCCCTTTTTGTTTTGATATCTATCAGTATTTCTTTCATTTGGATTTTTTTTAGTTAGAAACTACTTATAAGCTAGAGTTAAAATAAAAAGCTTAAAAAAAGCTAAAAACAGTTTGGTAATTACATAAAAAAAATTTAACTTAAAAACACATATTTCAAGAAAATTATCTCTTTTTATCTTTATAACTCTTCATTTAAAAAAAATACAAATTCAAGAAAAATAGATATGAGCTTAAAAAAAAAACTCATCCTAAGAGCTTTTAACTTTCAATTTTTTTCTTCATTATAAAAAAAAACTTTCCATTACAAGAGATTTTTTCAAAATCTGTTTTGCTTGACTTATGCTTATAAGTAACTTCTAGCTTAAAAAAAGATGATCCACTTTGTTTGGAATGAAATGAATAAACTTAAATATTTTGGCATATTTGTTAATTTCGATTGCATTTTATAATATTGATGTCTGTCATCTAGAATGATTATATTTTAACTTGAAAACATTGGTCAATATCTTTGAATGATAATTTGGATGGACAAGTATCTTATCCTTCCTTGTCCCACCAAAGTCCAAATTAATAGCTGTAAATAACATAGACTGGTGGACCAAAATAAATAGGAGAGATATTTTTCAGCAAGGTAAAGAAAAGTATACAAAGTTGATAATATTATACTTCAATAGTGTGGTGTAATAATCCGTTCTTTATTAATTTTGTTTTTATAAAATTATTCAGTGTAATTTTTTAAAAATAATTATTGACGTACAAATTCATAAATTATTGTACATTTTTATTTTAAAATTGAAACACAGCATATCCATCCAACTAGAGCATTTTTGGTACATTCAATATACTTACCCGATATACTTACGACTTTCATTAAGAAAATGATATTTGAATTAATTTTTTTTACTCTTTTCGATACATTATATTATAAAAAATGCTCTCTTTTAATTATATCGAGTAAGTGGTTCCACCAAACAGTGATCAAAATATCATTTTTTTGACAAAAATTTTATTCAAATATCATGCGAACAATATTTTTTTATCAGACTACCACGTGTCATAATTCGCTACGACTGATAACAAATTACCTTCGTCAATAATTTTATGACACGTGCACTTTCACAGACAAAAAATGACGTGTCGCTACTAGTGGTAGCGAATTTAGTCTACAATATAACCACATGTTACGAAATTATTGGCAACGAAATTCGCTATTAACTTTAGAAAATACTGTTTACGTTATAAAATTTTTGCCAAAAAATATGACATTTTGGTCAGTGTTGATGGTTCCACGGCACCTTAAATTTTTGGCCATCAAAACTGACTTTCTGACTCACCTAGTATTGTTCATAGTTTGCTGTGATTAAAAAATGAAAATAAAAGAAAAGCTCATCTTTCATATGGAAGCAATTAGCAAAGTTATATCAAACATTTAATCTGTGAACTTCCTACATCAGATTCAGAGGTCTCTCTTCTCTGCAACATTTTTCTATCCACCAACTTCATTACGCAAAGTCAGAAATCATAGCCAACATCACTTGGAAAAGCATGTCCATTGCTCCAATAGTTCATGTGGCTCTCTTGCCAAGCGCTGGCATGGGCCATCTTACACCATTTCTAAGGCTAGCTGCGTTGCTTGTTCACCACCATTGCCAAGTCACTCTCATCATTCCTCACCCAACAGTCTCTAAAGCTGAATCAGAACTCCTCTCTCGGTTCCACTCTTCATTCCCTCAGGTCAACCAAGTCCAGTTTCATCTTCTTCCTTCTGATTCTTCCACTTCCAACACCTCCACTGACCCTTTTTTCCTTCGTTTTGCAGCCATTCGTAGCTCTTGTCACCTTCTCTCTCCTCTCCTTGCTTCGGTTTCACCACCCTTGTCTGCTTTTGTCTATGACATGACCCTGATTTCCCCTGTTCTTCCAATTGCTAACACCCTTGGTGTCCCTCACTATATCTTATTCACTTCTTCAGCTACCATGTTCTCCTTCTTCTCCTACTTCCCTACTCTAGCTGCATCTGCATCCTTTCCTGATGTTGATGTTGTTGAGATTCCAGGGGTTTCAGCCATGCCCAGATCATCAATCCCTCCGCTGCTTTTCATCCCCTACAGTATCTATTGTAACCTTTTCATGGAAGATAGTCCTAAGCTTGCAAACTTACATGGGGTTTTGATCAATACGTTTGAAGGACTAGAAGCACAGTCTCTGGAGGCTCTTAATGGAGGAAAAGTGGTCAAAGAATTGCCCCCAGTTTATGCAGTTGGTCCTTTTGTGCCTTGTGAGTTTGAGAAGGAAGACCAAAGGGGAGAACCATTGAAGTGGCTTGATGATCAGCCTAGTGGTTCTGTGGTGTATGTTAGCTTTGGAAGTAGAACAGCTATGGGAAGGGACCAAATAAGAGAGATAGGATATGGGTTGGTGAGAAGTGGATACAGGTTTTTGTGGGTTGTGAAGGATAAGAAACTTGATAAGGAAGAAGAAGAAGGGTTAGATGGGGTGCTTGGGGCTGAGCTTGAGGAGAGGATAAAAGAGAAGGGAATTGTAGTGAAAGAATGGGTTGACCAAAGGGAGATTCTTGGTCACAAAGCTGTGGGAGGGTTTGTGAGTCATTGTGGGTGGAACTCGTTGATAGAAGCTGCATGGCATGGTGTTCCTATCATGGGGTGGCCTCAGATTGGAGATCAGAAGATAAATGCTGAAGCGGTGTCAAAGAGAGGGTGGGGTATGTGGAAGAAGGACTGGGGTTGGGAAGGAGAACGTGTGGTGAAAGGGGAGGAAATTGGAGAGGCTATAAAAGAGATAATGAATAATGAATCTCTTATGATCAAAGCAGCAGAAGTTAAAGAGGATGCAAAACTAGCCATTAGTAAAGGTGGAGGATATGAGGTTGCTATTCAGACACTAATTGAAGAGTGGAGGAAGAATGTTAAGAACATCTGAGAGTCAAATCATTTGGCTCTTTGGTCCATTTGTAGGCGGGGAGTGAAGTTTAATTTGACACAGTTCAGTAGGAATTAGGAGGTAGCATTGATTTCCCTGCTGTATCAAACACTATGGTGATTTCAGTTGCATTAATAGTATTGAAACAGGGTTAAGAGAAAATCAATAAAAAGATGATGGCTATTTGTTTCTCTTCTATTCAAATGGTCAACCATTTCTATTTTGCAAAGCAGCATGTCGTTTATTTCTCTGCATTGTCAAAAATGGAAGCATGACTCAGTATGTTGTATTCATGTTGAACCTACCTTGAAGGAATTTTATTTAGGTCATTTTACTCGCACTTCATGAAGAGGGTTGTTTTCTTTTTTTGCAAATATTTGAGTAGCATTTTGCAAAGCTTGTAACACGCTTGTTGCCAAAACCAAAATCATGCAAGCAGGAGGAGGGCCCACAATCTCTTTCTGTAACTTTCTACGAGACACTTTTGCTTTTGTTTATGAATTCCCCTCCAATCATAGTTTATACTTTACGAGGGCGTTTGCTTCTGGAAATTTCGTTGAAACAGTAGTGAAATGAAATAGATAGAAAAAATGATTGGAAAGATAGATAAAATGAGATAGGTAGAAAAATGTAAAAAAAAGTTGTTTGGTGGAGAAAAATTTTACTGGGAAAATTAGGTAACTTTATGAAATCAACAGTGCATTAAAAGCCAGATAACCGATTTTTCGAAAAATCCCACCTTCAAATTGGGTTTCTAAACAGTGCGCATATCTATGTTTCTTATAAATCCAGACACATTTGAGATAGATGGGTTTTTGGTGAAAAACGTTGAAACAAACATGGTGTTTCTAAAAGTCATACTTGAGAAAGATAGATATCCGCTGAAAAGCTCCCAACCAAACACCACCTATAGGATTTGATATTTCTTATTTTATAAAGATAAAATTATTATATAATATGAGAAATACTAAATCTTAATAAATAATGAGAGGGTTATATTTATAAATTTTTTATTTATAAATTATATTATGTACTCTCAAAATATGTACTTAAGGAAATATATAATATAATTTGTAAAAAAATTCTTCATATAAATAATAACATAAAAGGAAAAGTATGTGTTATTTTAGATGATACAAAGTTGTGTTATTTTAAGAGAGAGAAATAGATAGAGAAAGAAAGAAAGAGAGTTAACAAAAATAAATAAATATGTGAGTCTCACCTTTTTATGTGAAAAAAATAACATAAATTATGTTATTTAAAAAGATAATATTTTTTCCTAACATAAACAGGTACAAATATGTGGCTCACGACCCCATAAATAAATTGGCCACATCTACAAGTGTCCTTTTTTGTCAGGTATAAAGATAATTGGTTGGACAACTCCTGTCTTTGAAAAGAATTTTTTGAATATACTCCGGCAGTATCAAAGTGAAGGAGAAGCATATATTCAAGATGATTCAATTACTTGATATTTAACTTACTCTTGAGGACAAGAGTAATCTTAGGAGAGAGAATATTATGATTTTATTTATGTTATTTTATTATTTTCTGAATTATTAGGTTATTTAAATAGTGGATAGTTATTTTTCTTGTTTTGTTATTAGTGAAGTGTATTTGATGTTAGCGTGTAGTTACTTTTATGATTGACTCATATTATCTATTTAAACCTTGAAATATTGAAATAAAAATTATCAGATTAGATTAGAAAAGTCATCCCAAAATACACTTGTGCAAATGTCAAGCTTCCTCAATAAGCCATATGAGGTCAGGCTTCCTCAATAAAGCCAAATTTCTATTTTTATTTATTTTGTTCGTAACAATTGGTATAAAGGCTACATTAGTTGCTCATACAATCAAAGTAGGACTTCAAGTTCCATACCAATCAAATGGTATCAGAGCCTTCTACTTGTGCCCACGCCAACATTGCAGTGTTCGCCCGGAACTAATAAGAGACTAGCACAAAGCCAGCCCACCTATGCCAGGACTGCGAAGCGTGGTGAAATGTTATGATCCTATTTACAAGGTATATGACTTGAAGTCCCATATTGATTATATGGACAATTAATGTGGCAGGCGTTGGGATGATGCATCCCAAGGTTCTTATCAATTACCCAATTTCAATGGACGACCTTTACCCTCAATTACTTTGCAAGAATCACTCAACAAATTTTAATTCACCTTCTGAACTAGTCAAAATGAGAATAAACATTATATTCAGGGTGATGAGGTATGTGTCGATGTGAAAATGATAAGGGTGATAGTGTTATGAATCAAAATTCTTGAGAATTATTACGCCTACGCTAGCTGAGGGTGAAGGGAGGAGATGTTTGGGTTTGATTATTATTGAGGAGTGATTTTGGCGGAGTAACAAATTTGCACAATGGAGAATGTTCGTTTGGTGAGGCTAAAACTTTTATTTATGGGGTAAATGGGATTTTCTCCAAGTCTGAAAAGTGTGATGTATAAGGGAACATACCCTCTACGTGTTAAGGGGTATGTTTGATACATAATATAGGATAATGTCTGATAGTATAAGATTTGATAGTATAAGACACAATTAAATTTTGATACTATCCAGTGTTTAACATGATATTGTATAGGATAATATATTGTATAAGATAATATCATCCAATATTTGATAATACACTGATACTAGATAGGTTAAAAATAAATATTTTTGCCAAAAATACCATTTAATAATGAATTTACATAATTCTTCCAAATATATCATATGATATTATTTTTTATAGAAATATGTTGATCAGTGTGTCCAAAAAGTATATTAATTTTTATAAAAAAAAAATATTCAGTATTTTAAAAAATTATATACTGAAAAATTATTTTTTATTTTAATATACTAATATTAAAATAATATATTAATTATTGAGAATTACATTGGTTAATACATCAATCCCTTATCAGGCCTAATCCTACTCTCCTAGGCGTGATTAAGTTATATATCATTTTGATGTATAAAGAGATCATGTTGTATAAGCTTATATTATACGATGGTCACACTCACACCAAACAACTAAGGCATGTTTGGTGCATAGTATAGGATAAGGCCTGATAGTATAAGACCTGATAGTATAAGGCCTGATTGTATAAGACCTGATTGAATTTTAATACTATCCAGCGTTTGGCACGGTATTGTATAAAATAATATATTGTATAAGATAATATCATCTAGTATTTGGTAATGCATTGTATAATACTATATATAATAAAAATAAATATTTTTAATAAAAATATCCTTTAATAAAGAATTTATATATTTCTTCAAAAAATGTCATGATATTAATTTTTATAAAAATTTATTGATCAGTGTGTCCAAAATATAAATTAATTTTAATAAAAATAAAAATATTCAATATTTTAAAAATTAATATATTGAAAAATTATTTTTATTTTAATAGATTAATATTAAAATAATATATTAATTTTTGAGAATTACATTGGTCAACGATGTTAATACATCAATCTCTTATCAGGCCTCATCCCTCATCCTTAGGCCAGATTAAGTTATACATTGTTTTGATGTATTAAGGGATTATGCTGTATAAGCTTATACTATACAATGGTCACACCAAACAACTGAAAATGTCATAACGTATAGTATAAACTTATACTATCATGCCTTATACGTCACACCAAACAGGCCCTAAAAATGTTGTAACATATAATATAAGCTTATATTATCAAATCTTATATATCACACCCAACATGCCCTAAGGGCGTTTGGCACGAGAGATATTTTTTTTTTACCTGGAAAAAAAGATGGTTGAGGATTTGGTAAGAGTTTTTTTAACCTGGGTAAGTTACGAAAAAGTGTTTGGTTGTCCAAAATTTTGCCGAGAAAGTTGAGTTCATTTTACTGATGCTATATCTAATTGATAATAAAATATTGATGAAATAATTATTTGACTCAACATATTATATTCAGAATCTAAGACCCTGTGCAAAAAAAATTACCAAAGGATGAGTGGTATAATTATTTGCCTTTGTATAGTTGAAATGGGAAATACCTGGAGAAATTATTTGCTGAAATTTTTTTCACAATACTCATGCCAAACATGTTAATTAAATATTTAACATCTCACTTTCTTATCATTCGATACCAAATACCCATAACAAACGCCACAAATTTAATAGCTACATAGAAGGTTTTACACTATTTCCGTTTTCGGAGGGAGTACTGAGATGTTTACCTTTTAATTTCTTTACAAATTCTAAATTCGAATTTGGTTGACATCATTTTGTCAAAAATTAAAACACTTAAACAAAAATAAAATAAAATTATTAGCCAAAAAGTTGTTTTATTTGAATTAATTAATATAAAGAGAGAGTTTTATACTTCTTATGTTATATGAGATAAGCCTTTTTATGCCATAAAGACAACAAGCATTTGAGATCCATATATTAGAAAAAATAATGTATGGAACCATATCAACACGAAAATCAAAGAGTGTGTTGAAAATTTTTTCTTCTTATATTACATAAAAAGTATAAAACCCATAAAGAAAACAGCATTGCCTATTTTTTAATCGCTATTATATATTTAAGGTAAATATACAATTTAGCTTATGAAAGATGTTATATATGTATTGTTTTTGTTCTTAAAATTTTTTGTCTATACATATTGATTCTCCAAATTGTTAAATTACTAATAAGTTCATCTTATTGAAGTTATCAACTTGCTAATAAATTTATCCATTCAGAAATCAATTTATATAAATATGAAATTTTAAAAATTAAATCTAAATTTTCTATATTGTATCTGTTGTCATAATAACAGGTTTTTCAGAAAAAATCTAACTCGTTCCAAGTAGCACAGGTAAAAGTAAAAGAGTGAGGCTAAGTCATAACCTTCCCAATAGAATAATATCAATGAAGCAATAACAGCCTTGTGTTGTCTACTTTTCTGCTCTCCCTTATCTTCCTGGCGTTTCCTTGAGGGTGTTAGAAGGATAGGTAGTAGAGAGAGGAGAAGCTAATCATGGGTTCCTCTTCACTACCATCTTTCATTCAGATGTCATCTACATATTCTAGCAGCCCTCAAAAGAAGTTTCAAATTGGAATAGCTAGAACTAACACACAGTTTTCTTGGTCTTTTTCTTCTCCACCTTCTTGCAAAGTTCTTTACAAATCAGTTCCTTTGGCTGCTTCAATTGCAATTCTTCTGTGGTCAAGCCCTGGTATTAATAGCCTTTTGGTCTCTCTGCATGTGTTCTGATGTAGCATATAATTCACTTTATTGTCTAGTGTTGGTTGAAGCTTCATTGGATATACATATATATATGCTATAACTGAAAGCTTGAGCATTTTCTTATTTTTCAGCACATGCTGGGTTCATGTCAGGAATCTCTGGAATAGAGTCTGTTCCTGGTCCTCAGCTACCTCCAATTGACTTTCTCAATCGCTTTAATGGTTTTTAGCTTTTAAACTTTGCCTTTTTGTTTTATAGCATTTTGAACATGCTGGGATTTTGTAAAGCTCAATTTGATGAAACTAACATTGGTTTCATCTTTATTTTACAGAAGAAAACCAGAAGAAATATGCTGAAAATGATGCAAGATTTCAATCATCCCCCCTTCTAAAGAAACTCCTTGAGCAATCCAAGTTGAATAAAGAGAAGTAATTTGTTTTTTTTTTTTTAATTATTTGTGTATTGTTTGCATAGTCAAAACCTCAGGCAGCTGCAATGGATTAGAGATGGCTAAAAAATACTCTCCATTAAACCCTGAACAGCGAGGGCGAGATAAGGACAATCCTTATAAACAGTCTTATTCTTGTATATGTGCAAAGAAGTTATTTCTTGAATTCGAACTTGTAATCTTTCGGTCACAAAGAAGTAGCTTTACCACTACTCCAAACTCACCTTCTTAGAATTAGAGATGGACAATGATATAGTAAATTAGTAATGACAATTTTTTCTTTCTTTTTGCATAGCAAGCTAGAATAACATTTGTCTTACTCTTCAGGAACCGTAAAGAAACTGAGGACAAGTACTGCATACGTGGGGCAGAATGGGGAGTTGGGGATTGTTCAGCAGAGGGAATGTCTCCAGAGGAGAGGGAACAATTCATAGCAATGTTGAAGCAGAAGGCTGAACAAAAGTAATATGATGCAACTTTGACATGTAGGATGGCACGAGGTGAAAAAAACAATTAGGCCTCTTGCAGGGCTTCAAAGTTCTGTTTTCAAATTCATCATACATCGATTACTTTTATGTATAATTGTGAAAGAAAAAGCTCATAATTTCTAGTTTATAGTTTTAATTTCTTCTCCTTTTTAGTTTTGCCCCTCTTTTCGTATGCTTTTGTGGAGGTTCATCAGAAGTGAATAGACCGGTGGTAAAGTTTACAAGGGAACTCTCCTCTTGTGAAGTTTACTAGAGCAAATCAAGAGTAAGCGGAATAACATTACCTTATGGGAAAGGAAAAACAAAAACAAAAACAAAACAAAACAGTTCAATTCAATGATTCTGATGAAGCATTCAATTGTTAGTCCATCATGTGTAGTGCTACTAGCCAACTCAAATTCCAGTAAACTGAGAAAAACAAGCAAAACCACATCGTGCAAAAGTTTACAGAAATCCACTTAAAGGACATAAAAAGCAACAAATTAGTGGCCAGTGCCACTAGTGTTCGTAAGTTGTACTATGGGCTAGTAGAAATATTACATAATATTGCCAATGATATATAGCTTAGTTGATAGTTTATGGGAAATAGAATGCGAGTATGTGGGGTTCAAACACTGTAGTATTCCCTATCCCATTCCCTTTTGCCTCCTTGTGGGATTGGTATGAACTTCATTGGGTTTGAACTCAAAAAGAAAAAAAAGAAACGCAGAAAAAAAAAAATCCTTTTCTTTTGTTTCTGCTTGTTCAATAGTAGCTTTACTGATTCAACTTGACTTCACTGAATAAGCATTTATGTGGAACACTAACCTACACACGATGAATTTTTTAATACATAAAACCAATGTCATTAAAATTGATTGGTGATTGGCCCGATTTAGGTATTGGGTTACTGGTTTAACCAGTGATCCGATAATTATATGTAATTCTATAATTTATATTAAAAAATTATAAATATACTCAAATATCTACAAAAAAAAATAAAATATTCAAATATTTTAACATAAAAATAATAAATCACACATTATTATCCAATAAAGGATCAAACAAAAATATAATGATCATAATAGGTGGCTTCACTTTTGATAAAGGACATCTCTAGCTATAAATCAAATCAAATCAAAATTTTCTGTACGGTGCATAATTAAGATAATATTAGTATTGTAGGTACATAACTTATGCAAGTCAATAAGCAAAAAATACTTAAATATGTTCAATATGATTTTTTTTTTGAAATTTTTTTTTGGGATTGGGTCGGGTCATTGGTTAACCGGGCGGGACACCGAATTTCACGAAAACTGGTCGGTTCGCACTGGTTCTGATGCATGGTCGGTCCGTTGCTTCACCCAGACTGGTTATATGACCGTTTACCGATTTTCGAGTCGACTCAGCCTAGCCAGTCGAGTTTTATTAACATTGCATAAAACTCAGTCCAAATATTGTATACTCACGATTGAAGTTGGAAAAAAATAATAGCTAAAAAGATTACTAAATTGTTTAAACTATGTAAAAATAGGAGAATAATATACTTACTACCAATTATGTTTATATTTTTTACCACCAAATTTTAACCGTTGATTTTTGTTAATATAATGATTATAATTTATTGGAAGACACTTATTAATTAATTATTAACTCCAAATAAATATAACCTTCATATTTACGAAAATCAATGATTAAAATTTAATGGTATGAAGTGATAAACTTAATTGGTGATAAGTATAACTTTTCTTGTAGAAATATACATAAATGAGGAGAATGTAATGATTTAAACAGGAATAATAAAAAAAATGAAATGAAAAATGCAAAACACCATTTAAGAAAACAAAATACAAGCAACCCGAACTCACTCAGGGATTGCATCATGCAAAATGAAGGATGCTTCATATAAGGACATATCAACAATCATACCCAACTACAGGGTATTATCCCCATCACTTTTGTTCCTTTTCAAAATAGCATTCACAGGATATTTTTCTCTCTTTCTCCATGTCTTCTTGAAAGTTGATCTGGATAATTACATAGACCCACCAAGGTTAAGACAAGAAAGGACTCAAGCAGTACACAAGCCCCATAACGCGAGATACAGGCATTGCGCAACAGGGCCAAGAAGCGCAATGGCCTCATAACGCGAAATGCAGGCATTGCGCAGAACCGATTTATGTAACTTCAAGGCTAAGGAAAGATTCAGTAACAGACTGGGATCAACCGCGCATACAGACCAACGCATGAAAGAAGTTCCAGCTTGCCACCACTCTAAGAAGATAGACAAATATGTAGACTTATAGCTTGAAAGACACCAGCTGAGACAAATAAGTCTGCAGCCCATAATAACCAATAAGAAGGCATGCCGCCTACCAAAGACGGCATAAGGCATGCTATAAATATGAAGGGTATAAACCCAACTATGAGTATCTGATTCCCATTAAACATAACATAAACCTAGCATTGATAGTGATTTGAGCGTCGGAGTGTCTTTGCAGGTATCCCAGTCATCTCCATTGCGCTAGAAGTATTCACCAACCTTCAAATACTAAGTGAACGTTTTAGGCCCACGAAGCACTGTTCACAACCCAAAGTCTTCAATCTTCAACCGTGTATGATTTAGCCGCCCAATCCATATTGAACTGGTCTGATCAAAAGTGTTGTAACTTGTAAGTATTACAGAGTTACGTACTTAAAATTGATTTATTACGGAAAAAATTGACTCATACTAATTTGTAAATATTACGTAAAAAATCCTGCATATTTTAGTTTTTTCTTAAGTATTATTTCTTTTATAGTTTATTAATATTGTTTATGGGCACACGCGCGCGCCCACACACACACATATATATATAGGATCACGATCATTTTACACCGGTGTAAGATTAATAAATCTTCACCACATCTCAACAGTTGATTTTCGTGCATCCAACGATTATAATTTAGGAAATTATACGAATTAATTAATATTAATTAATCATTAATTACACTACAAATACCAACCGATGATTTCCGTCAATCAACGGTTAAGATATGGTTGTTAATCTTACACTGGTGTAAAAAGAACCTACCCCATATATATATATATATATATATATATATATATATATATATATATATATATATATATCAGAAAAATATTTCTGCAGTTAATGCAGATAAGTTATCTGCATTTACTTCCAAAACGACGTCGTTTTGAGATTGAAAGATTAAAAAATCATAATTATAAAGACTATAATAACCCTGAAATAAATTAAAATTATAAAAACACCATGATTTCCGTCCCAAAACGACGTCATATTGAGCTTACTGCAGATAACTTATCTGCAGTAACTGCAAAAAAAGAGAATCATATATATATATATATATATATATATATATATATATATCATTTGACACCACACTAGTGTTAAACTTTAAAATTTGACACCAAGCCCTAACCGTTAAATTTTCGTCAGTCAACGGTTATCATTTATTGAGAATCAAGCTTATTAATTAATTATTAATTCGCAATAAATGATAACCGTTGATTGACGAAAATTCAACGGTTAGTGTTTGGTGTCAAATTTTAAAGTTTGACATTGGTGTCAAATGATCCTCTATATATATATATAGAGAGAGAGAAAAGTATTTGTCATTTTAAATGACATAAAGTTATGTCATTTTAAGAGAGAGATAGACACATAATAAAATTTTTTATTTAAAATTTAAATTTTAAAAAAAATCAACCACTTTCTCTCCCATAATTTTTATTTTTTGTGTCTATCTCTCTCCTAAAATTACATAACTTGTGTCATTTAAAATGACAAACATCAAATATATATATATATATAAAAGTGAAAATCATTTCTATAGCCGCTTTAATGTACAGCAATTGACAGATGTATGGTTATGATTCTTCACATTTAATGCTTTTACATATATATATGAAAAATATTTGATTGTTGCACGTGCAGATGGTACAGAAATGTAAACCCATATATATATATATATATATATATATATATATATATATATGGGTTCGCTTTTTCTACAGTTACTGCAGATAAGTTATCTGCAGTAAGCCAGTACGATGTCGTTTTGGGACGGAAATCATGGTGTTTTTGTAATTTTAATTTATTTTAGGGTTATAATAGTCTTTATATTTATAATATTTTAATATTTCAATACCAAAACGACGTCGTTTTGGGAATAAATACAGATAATTTCTCTGCATTAACTGCGGAAACATTTTTCCCTATATATATATATATATATTTATATAGGTAGGTTATATTTACAAACTACACTATCTTCTTCCGGGAGAACACTAGTTACACTATATTCTCCCGAGAGAAGATAGTGTAATTTGTAAAAATTTGTACAAAAAATTTGTAAGCGGATCTTTTCGTATATATATATATACTCCTATTTTTTTTAGAAATGTTCGTAATTTCGGTATAAAAATAGTGTTACTTAATTTAAATAAAGTAATATTCATATAAATATTGAGTACTCGTAATTGTCTTAAAATAACGGCACAATTATATATTTATGGTATTATATTTGTGGGGCAATTAGTATTACTACAAATGTTACTACCAATCAATTTCACCGTTAGATTGATTATATTGATTCAACGATTATATTTATTTCCACCTTTGTACAGTTATGATTTCTCATATTTATTACTTTATATTTATTTTCACCTTTGTGTGTTTATGATTTTTCATATTTAATGTGAAAATATTAAATATGAGAAATCATAACTCTACAAAGATAAAAATAAATATAACCGTTGGATCAATATAATCAATAAAATTAATTGATAATAACATTAATAATAAAAGTAGTTATTCCTTCCCCTGTTAGCATTAGCGTTGTTAATCATTGGCCCTGCAATCTGATAATTGAACAAAAAACATACGAGCCATCGAGGCCGGAAAAAGACAAAACAAACATTTTCACTTTTCTTTTTGTTGTCGAAAAAAAAAAAAAAAAAAAGGCTTTGCAAGCTCATCGTCCCGCGGAACCAGCAGTAACAATAGTTGATCCCAAAAAAGCAAACTTTAAGGAGGAAGAAAAGAAAAACAGAGTTCTTTTCCGACACCCAGATTACAATTCGAGGTTTTTTATGCTTTTCACATCAAATTAAGGTTTTCCCTTTTAATATATATCTGAATTTTTTCCTATCCTGTTCAAAGTTGAAAATTCTCAAATTAGGTTTTCCCTTATCATATAACTTGAGATTCAAATTTAGTTTTTTTTTATTATTATTATTTGTTAATGCATTTTCTTCCCGGCTGCCAGAAAAATGATAATTGAAGAAATGGGTTACCCTTGAGATTTGTTATGGAATCTCGTATCTAGTTATTTGTTTGAAAGGAAAGTTCTTGTTGTTGAGATTGTGGTAATTGTATAGCTGTGGTGTGAATTTTGGATTGTTGATGTGTTTTTATAGTGATTGTGTCACTTGGAACCTTAACAAGGGATTGTTGTTGTTAATAGGAGTCCCTGAAATGTATAGGCCTGTGGCTGCTTCAGCCACACCACGGGGTGGATTGCCTAATGACAGTGGGGACTCTGTTGTGACTTTAGATCAAGTTCCGCGGTGGATTGATGCTGAGCATTCCTTGGGGTATGACAATGGAGATTCATCATTTTCTAGTTCATACTTCCCTGATCCTTTGACATTCCACTCCGGAACCGACAGCGGGGGCATTGGTTCAGTGTCAAGGTTTCCTGTTGACCATGAAATTAATTCGAGGATATACTTGTGGAGGGGGAACCCTTGGAACCTTGAGGTGGATGCTGTGGTAAATTCAACAAATGAGGTGAGTGATATATATATATTTTTGGTTTAGTATTTTAGTTTAATTTTTCCTTCATAAGTTTATGCAGTTTGATGTAACTTTTCTTTGTTTGGTAATAGAAAAGTCGTAGTTATTATCATCATGTTATTTACTATCCTTTCACTACCATTCGTCTAGTACAAGCAAAACAAGAAAATATGACCATGTGAAGGAACTTATGCTTATTTACGTATATAGTTCTATATCCTTGAAGACAATTGACAGTGAGCACTTTTGATCGCTTAGGAGTGGTTTTCTTAATTCATGATTTGTTTCCATATTTAATTAGAATTAGGACTCCAATATTAGTATAATTGGGGTTAGTGCTTTATATTTTGTATCACATTGAATCAATATAGATTTCCGATTGTTTAATCTTTATTTTCTCTTCTGTCTTCCATATAAAAAATCCTATAATTTCAACAGATAAGGGATCCACCTACTGGGCATTTACATAAATATTTCTTTTTTCCAAATCATTAATTTTTAGAGGCACTTGCTCTCTGTTTGGTTTTTGAATGCAATAAAATTTTAGGTTAACAGTGATTCTGTTGCTGATAAAATAAGATCACATAATATTGAACCCTTATGATAGATTCCTTGCATAAATTTATTGAAATAATGTCATTAAAGCAGGATCTGTATTTTAAATAAACTTGACAAATAACCAACTTTTGTTTTCCCCTTAATCGCAGTTCACTTCTTGCTATCCCGTGTCTACTTATGACCCTGGAAATCGAGTTACATATAAGTGCTCTCAATTCTTGAAAATTATTCTGGACCTCAGACTATTGTGATTACGTAATATAATGATACTATAAAGTATATAGAAGGTTAGAATTGGACCTCCAGTAAATATAATGGAGCTAATAATATCATATTTCCTACCTGGTTTTCATTTCTTGTTAACAGATCTTGGATGAAGCACATAGCAGCCCTGGATTGCATGCTGCAGCTGGACCCGGTCTTGCAGAAGAATGTGCAACTTTGGTATAATTCTTATTAATTGCTTCAGTAAAAATGTAATGTTATGTGCTCAATGTTGGTAACATTCGAGCTTATAAATTGTGATTATTATATTCTTAGTTAAATTTTTGGATTTCTTGTGTATTAAGAGTTTGGTTGGGAGATTGGGTTAAGATGACAACATTGCATTGTTATTCTGGTTCAACAATTCATAAACTGCCATGCCACAGAAGCAGCTTTCTGGAAATGAAATATGAATATTGATAATATAATTGATATCATATATCTTTATTCTTGACAGGGTGGATGTCGAACAGGGATGGCTAAAGCTACCAGTGCCTATGATCTTCCTGCAAGGTTTTTATATTGACCTCCTTTCTTTCACTTTTTCAAAGTCAAAAGTAATTATATCCACTTACGGTATTGGAAGACCAATGCCACTATGCAATCATAGTTTACTTTTTTGCTTCCTGTCTGGGAGAAAAGACACACTGAGAATGTCTTTAAGTCAGTGCTGTTGCATTGATGCAAAGGTAAATTCTCATGCTGTCTTTGATCTCTTTGAATTGTGGTTGTATTGGCATGGGATTTTTATAATGGCACGTGCCTTAGTGGATGTATGTTTATAAATGTTAAACATCATGTTTTTTGTTTTCCAGTGTTTTGGTCTGAAATCAGTTATTCATATGTCATGGCTGCACAAATTATGTTAATTTTTCCTCCTTCCCCTTTTATACTGACCTATATTTCTTCCTCATTGCATTCAACTCTCATGGCTAGAAGTTAGATTCCTAGTATATGATATTTTATTCCTTTAATAAATTTCTGGCAGGAAAGTTATCCATACTGTTGGCCCAAAGTATGCTGTGAAGTACCACACTGCTGCAGAGAATGCTTTAAGTCATTGCTATCGCTCTTGCCTGGAGCTTCTAATCGATCATGGGCTTCGAAGGTTTTTGTTTTAAATGTTATATCATTCTTTTCTTGCAACAGTTATTGTTATACTCCCATGTTACTTCAAAGATCTAAATCTTGCTTTTTGTTTGGCATATATTGATGCAGCATTGCTATGGGCTGCATTTATACTGAGGCAAAGAACTATCCACGTGAACCAGCTGCACATGTAGCTATAAGTGAGTTTTTTACCTTATAATTTTACTGTTTCTATATTGATTATTGTGGTACTTATTCTGACCTGATAAATTAAATTACCCTGCTTTTGGAGATATATTACTTCATTGCTGTTCCATCAATACAGAAAATTGCAGCCATAAATGCTAAAAGACATAAAAATAATATGCTGACTTTATTTTAAATTGAGAGAAAGGAAATCAATCAATTGCGAAAGGGAGGGTGGGCAAAAAGGGCAGAGGGAGAAGATAGAATGAAAAAGCACGCTCTCACTTCTTCAGTTGTCATTTGCTGTTTGCTTAATTTAATTTTCCATCTTACTAAGTGGTGTTTAAATTAACAATCAAGGGGGTGACTAGGTGCAGCATAAGTAGGAAAGTAGATGCATGTTTAGTTGCATCTTTTTGTGCATAATTCTACCAATTTATACAGTTTCCAAAACCCTCAGGGTATTTAATTATGCCCATGCTGAATGCATCTAGCATATAGTGTTTGATTTTCTATGTTGTTGAGGACTGTTTTCTGATGCCTGATGGATAAGATATTATTATCAGGCTTCTACATCTTGTATCCTTTTAAATTTTCTTATGTCTTTTTATTCAGGAACTGTGCGACGGTTTCTTGAGAAGCAGAAAGACAACATCACAGCTGTTGTCTTTTGCACTACCAGCACAACTGATACTGAGATATATAAAAGGTAATTTGTTTCCCTGTTGTTGATAACTTGATATCAGCAATGTTTTAATTGACATGAACTTCCCAAAAATTATGCAAGTTTGTTTTATTAGCTTTTCTATTTTGGACTTTGTATTACTTATTCATTCTTATCTCTTATATTATTTCCATGTAGGTTACTTCCACTTTACTTTCCTCGGGATAAACATGAGGAGGAGGTGGCTATGTCAAAGCTTCCTGCAGATGTTGGGGATGAGAATGGTGAGACCGTCATAGATGAGCGTAAAATCAGAATAAAGCCTTTGCCTAAAAAAAATGTTCCAAAACCTCCTAATGTTCCAGCTGATCCTGTTGATCTTCCTGTTAGTGATGTCGGCTTGGTTCGTAGGTCGGTTTTAGTTAGAGTTTTTTTGCCTATATGACTATCTATATTTCTTTCTTGGTTGCTCAGTGTGTTCCACTACAGACAAATACTTGAATGGGCACTACCAATCCGAACATAGATGAATAGTGAATTTCACAGGATCTGAGAATATAATCTAGACTAAAACCCTATTTTTGTCTTTGACATTTGCTTTAATTCCCACTTTAGTCCCTGTCATTTCATTTTTCTCACGTTTTTTTGAATACTCATCTTTCTCACTTTAGTCCTTGACTATTATGAACTCACTCTAATTTAGTCCCTCTATCAATACACTAATTATCTAGTCACCATTAGAAATGACATGACACCTTTAGTTATTGACATGACAATTTGACAGAATATTACTGGATAAATACATCTAAAACCACATCGTTACAATCTTCACTTGCCATTTGAAACATAGGATGAATTTTTTGCTTTTTCAAATTGCAAGTGATGAATGAAATGATGTCTTTTTAGATGTATTCATGACAGTCATTTTCTATCAAACCACCACGTTTGCTGATACTGATGTACCATCATCTCTAACAGTGATAAGTTAGCATATTTGTTTATTAGATAACAGGTAGATATATAGATGGATTAAATTAAAGTGAATTCATAAATGTTAGGGACTAAAGTGAGAATGAAAGAAATTATTGTGGACCAAAATAGGTTTTAGTCTATAATCTAAAATTTGCAGTTACAACTTTACAATCCTACTATGCGTCATCTTGTTGGTGACTTTACTTCTCCGAATACCATTGGATCACCTTATTGGATGTACTTTCGATCAGAGCAGAAAACTATTGTTCTTTTGAGCAAATTATGCAGCATTATCAGGGACCAAGAGTTTTCTTGTTTTTTGAATGCCCCTCCTGTAACACCCTCAAATTAGGGATGTTACACCTCCAGTAGTCCTAAAAAATAGCCCAAAGTTACTTTTCTGTTTTGCCAAACGTTTTGCAGCATAACCAAGCAAGCACTTAGAAATCACTCTCCTTGTGGTTTTATGTTTGTATGCCACCGTATTAGTTAACATTATTTCTATGTTCTTGAAGTTTTTTCAATGTATTTGATTAAACAAATATTGTCCATTTTTGAATTTTTACTTGTGGAATTTTCCTGATTAGTGTGGTTTTTGTAGGACTTCATCATTTTTAGATTCATTTCTGGATCCTGCCTTCATGTCTTTGATTAAAGACCCTGATGAAAGACGTCAGGAACAGTGGGAGAAAACTGTTCAAGCACAAAGAGGCTGGAATTTTGCTAAATTGCTTGGATTGGGTAACCTAGGTGGACCTCCACTGTCTGCTGCTGAAGAATATTCTCTGCACTCTAGATTTCTTTCTAAAGCGAATTCCTTAAATCTGTCTGAAATTGCAGAGATGAAAATTGTGTAAGGGTCCATAATTACTCAGATCCAAAATTACTCGGGGAGATTTATGTATTTTATTGTTTGGATAAATAGAACTAGAGGAAAAATGTGTGACAAACCAGTCTACACATGCATATATTTACATTATCTATACATCTAATTCTTTATGAGATTTCAATCATAGATAATCAAATAATCAAGTTTTATGCTCTTTAAAATTTTCTGTTCTTAACCAATCAATGTGAATGTTTCATGCATGTTTTCAGATTGATATTTACATTTAGTTTCAGAGGTATTTGTGCTTTTCAGCTATCGAGGAGGGGTGGACAGTGAGGGTCGTCCTGTCATGGTTGTTGTGGGGGCTCACTTTTTGCTCAGATGTCTTGATCTGGAACGATTTGTGCTTTATGTGGTGAAGGTGATTCAGTTGTACCCTTTAGCTTTCATTGACTAGCATAAGTTTGGCTATTGTAAATTTTCATCTTTTGGATGTTGGGAATGCATACTTCTCTTAAAACTCATTTTTTACCATAAGTTTTAATCTTTATCATTTTCCCCCTTACCCTGCTTACTTTTCAAATATATTGAAAATCATCTTTGTGTTAAATTTTAGGAGTTCGAGCCTATAATACAGAAGCCTTATACTATTGTCTACTTCCACTCTGCTGCATCTCTGCAGATGTAAGTGTTAAATAATGGAATTCTAGGATTTACAGTTTGGTCTATTCTTTTATGTTATAGAGGCATGAAACATGCCAACGGTTGTCTTTGAAAAATATTTGAATGTGTGAGAGGAATGGGCTAACTGTAGAACTTAATTGGTGAAATAGTATAACTTTGTCAATTATTTGATTATTTAAAATAAATAAACACATTCTTTCATTGCTAAAATTCATGTAATTCACTTTTATTCAATTAGAATAAGGGAACTGGAAATTCAAATCGGCTGGACATATTTGTGTGAGCTTGTATTCATCTCTGGAGTGTTTTATCTAATTGCCAAACATGTCACATTCTATCTGTAGTATTTTTTTATAGTTGCTGGAATCATTTGCTTGATCATTGGCCTAGTTCATGTGTTGCATGAAATCTTGAAATTACTGAACTATATCTAGTTATGCCCCTTTGTTGAGTTTGGTTCTGTCATTCTTTTTCTGCCTGTTTAACACTACTAAAACTCAGTACATAGCCCCATATTTAAATCAGGCAACCCTTTGTTTTGATGCAATGTGGCTTTGCTATATGCTCCTTTCTCAAGGATAATTCTTCTATTCAATTTAAATTCATTATTGTGCTTATGGCAGATTTGCCTGTTTAAGTGGTAGTGTTCTGTGAAGCAAAACATAAAGTGGGGCAAGGTGACAGTTTTTGACTAAATTGCTTTATAATTAATTGAAGACATGCCACTTGGGTGAAGCATACTTAAACGAAAGATATACATAGGAAGACATTTAGAATATTTTACATAAGCAGGTTGCGTGAAACTGTTTTTATTTATATGAGTAACTCCTATCATTGGTTGTTCCATATTTGTGTGCAATGCTCAGTAATGGTTTCTTAATGATTTCCTTTCACATTTTCCCCCCACCCTGTTTTTGTATAAATAGGCAACCTGACCTAGGTTGGATGAGAAGATTGCAACAAATACTTGGACGGAAGCACCAGCGCAACCTACATGTATGCATTATTTCTGTTTTCCTAATTTATTACTGTTACAACTTTATAGTCTTTGTTCTTATCTCTCAATCTGATATGTGCAGGCGATATATGTCCTTCACCCAACTTTTGGTCTAAAATTGACAGTATTTGCGCTTCAGTTTCTTGTGGACAATGTGGTACGTTAGGAATCAGATTTTATTAGTGAACTTAAACCTATTTTAGGACATTTTTTGTGTGTTATTGTCATTCATGGTTGACTTTTAGGTTTGGAAGAAAGTGGTATATGTTGATAGACTACTGCAGCTCTTCAGATATGTACCTCGCGAGCAGTTGACCATCCCAGATTTTGTGTTTCAGTTGAGTCTTTATGTTCTCATTTGTTCTTGTTCATAATGTTGCTATTACTGTTGTCTTGTAACTGTAGTTTATCTCTAATTCGTCTTGTGTTTATGTTCTCATTTGTTCTTGTTCATAATGTTGCTGTTACTGTTGTCTTGTAACTGTAGTTTATCTCTAATTCGTCTTGTCCTTTTGTTCTCGTAGGCATGACTTAGAAGTGAATGGAGGAAAGGGTCTTATTGTGGATCCCAGAACAAAGTATGTTTATCACAGACCATGAGCGTGTCATATGCAGTTCTATAATCGGTTGATAAAAGAGAATCACTTGCTGTAGTTTCTTCATTGCTGGGCTTGCCCATTATTCTCACTGGTAAGTGGAAGAGGGTCTATATCTGTTTGTGTATGGAAGAATTCTTTTTTCTTTTTGAATTTTTTGAAGCTTTGATAAGTTTCTACGTAAAAGAGGGCAAACCTAGAGCAGTAGTAAAATTGTTCCTTTGTGACTGAAAAGTCATGAGTTTGAATATAGGAAATAACCTCTTTGCAAATATGCAAGGGCAAGGTTGTGTACAAGGATTGTCTTCACCCTACTGTCGCTAATCGGGGTTTGATGGGAAGTGAGTGATAAGTTTCTCTGTAAGTAAAATAATATTGTATTTTTTTTTCCTCTGTAATCTCCTGAGTGAGTGCTGAATAAAATTCAAGGTGATTTTAATCTCTCTTTAGGCTGGCTTCTTGGCTTTGTGAAAGTGTCTAAATTCAAGGGAGCTGATTTGAATAAAATCAGGCTTTGAAGATATTCAATTTTCGCACTCCATTCTTAATTTATGCCACTAATTGTTTGATTATCACATAGCTTTAACATTTCAATGTAGTTTTGTGCTAGCTTTAACATTTCTATGCTATTTTTTTCATGCATGAATTTATCAGGCATGTATTGCATATTGGTTCACCATAAACTTAAATCATATGTACTCGAGCAGAATGTTTATGATCACCAAAGAAATTACTACAAAGGAGACATTAAATTATGCATAATTGTTGTACTTGTAATCAGCAGACAGCACCATTACTTATGCTAATGCGATATTGCATACAAGAAAGGAAGTATGTGGATCAATTTGTTCTAGCTTAATCATTAATTTCGAGTAGAGGTGTCAAAATCGGTTAAAGCCTGCGGGTCAGCCCAAAAAATATTATATTTGGCTCTAACCCATTCGGGCTTTTTTTGTGGTAGGACCTGTTTTAGCCTTAACCCTCAAAGCCCTATAATTTAGTGGGCTGGGTTAGGGCTAACCCGCAGGCCAAACTTTTTTTTTAATCAAAATTTTAATTATTAAAAAAACTAAAAATTATAAAAATTTGAATTATTTATAAATACAAGTAAAAATTGTAGTGAATTTGATGGAGAATATAAGAGAAAGTAAAATATGAAAGAAAGAAAAATGAAGTGTAAAAAATAAATAAAAGAAAGAATAAAATAAGTATGAGCAAGAGTTTGTATAAGGACCTATCCTAGATGCATTTTTAAACATGGAAGTCATGAAAAAATAACACGTTATGAATCATGTGAAAGGTCATTCATAATTCATGTGAAAGGTCATCCATAATTTATGTGAAAGGTCATCCATAATATTTTACAATACCCCTTTGGATGTATTCTACAATTCAACACACTATTAGTGTGATGATTATAGAATATATCAAAAGTCATGAAAAACAAAAGAGTCACGTGTTATGAACCATGTGAAGTTCATTCATAATATTTTACAACAAAAATTAATTTTTCAGTAGTGATATATTTTAACAGAGATTTTTATCTGCACATCAATAAAAATAAAATTTTCTATTGACATCTAAGCATGTTATACATCCAAGTTTGTATTGAAACATATTCTATACAATGCACTTTAGTAATTTTGTGGATAATAATAATTTTTTTTTTTTTTTGTAATGGTAGTAGTTAAAGAAAATCAATTATTTTTCTTTCAAATATATAACATACTAAGAGCAGTTATTCAATACTGGTATTAAGATAATTTTTCCAACATTACTTTTAGTTTTCCACTATCATTGTTGTATTTACTCTTGGTAAGAAAATCTTTATTTGATGGCATCATTTAATAATGAATTTAGTAAAAGTAGTAACTAAATTTTAACTTATATTAAAATTTTGTTTACATTTTTACTTGTATATTTATGTACAAATCTTATTTTATTAAAAATTTAAATTATAAAAAATTTATAATTTGTATAAAATACGCTAAGAAAGTGTTAAAAATTTATTTGTTAAAAATATTTTTTAATGTATAAAATATGATAAAAAAATTATGAAATTATAATTTTAGATGGCCCACAAGCTGGCCTTAACCAATAGTGCTTTTGGCACATGCGGGTCTTGATTATTAAGGTTTATTTGGCCCTACGAGCTTTTTGGCCCTAATCCACACGGACTAGGGCCAAATGAAATGGGCTGGCTCATTTTAACAGCTCTAATTTTGAATTTGAGTCCCTAAAAATATGCAGTGTTAAAATTTACTAGAAAGAGCTTTATCATCGTGGTTCTACCAAACTCAAATTGGATTAATTGACTAAATGAAAAAAAAAAAGTGTATAGAAGTATAGGACAAGAGTGTTTTTGTTGTGTTCATGGTTCCAAGGTTCTTTGTTGTGTTCTGACTATGATTCATGGTTCCAAGGTTCTTTCTTATCATGGCAGTCCACAGGGGAAACAGTACTCTAAATATGTGGTGTTGGCTAATGCCTAATCCAAGAATTTAACATTGTACTTTTTAAAAAATGGCAGAGCAGAAACAAAAAAGCTTTTTAAAAAATGGCAGAGCAGAAACAAAAAAGCTATACAATTAATTTTAAAAGGTTATTCTTTTATAGAGCATTTACCGGGCATCATAGGGATGCACATTGTTCTGACAATTTTGGAATAAAAAACTTTTCATAGACAAAACAATTTTTTTTAAAAAAATATTTCAATCCGTTGATTGATTTGTAACTAGTCCGATTCGAATTATGATTGTAGACTCATACAAACATCACATACTCGTCAAGTGTCTTTCGAATTGAATAATAAATCCTTTACACTAAAATAACTATTAACAAAACATGTTATTTTGTTATCAAGAGTAATTATTCTATTGAAGTTTTTTATATTCAATTCTAATGAAATAACTACATTTTATAATATGATTTTAGTTTCTTTATTGTAATTAGTATTCTTGGAAAAATTATTTGAAGAGTAATTTAAAATTAAATAAATAAGACAACAAAATTTAAGGAAGAATTCATATCTGGCAGGGGGCATGGCTAGCTCCCATAGTGTGACGGGCAGTGTGTACAAGGCCCGGGAACGAATTTATCGCCGTATGACTGACCGGCAATGATTGTTTTAATTTCGAATTTGAAAATTTACAAATAGAAAATAAAATGAGTAGTCTATAATTAAAAAAAAGTAAAAGTAAAAATAAAATAAAATAACGAGTTCAAGGTTTGGAATAGTTGTTTGACATTACTCGGAAACGAGTTTCAACATTAGAAATTTGAAGTGAGCAAAGAAGATTCAATGGTTGAAATCTAAATGCTCAATTTATTGAGCAAAAGCTTATCTCCGAGGCATTGAAATCAGTTGAATATCTTCTTCCCTCCGTGTTGTTTATTTAATTATTTATTTTGGTCCATCCGTCTATGTTATGTACAGCAATTAATTTGGACTAGGGCAGAACAGGAAAGGAAAAGATATCAAAGTGCATCCAAATTATGGATCAATGTTTGCAAGTTAAAATATAATCATTCAACACGTAGATGACAGAAATCGTTATTTTAGAATGCCAACGTAAATCAACAAATATGCCAAGATATTTAATTTTACACATTCCATTCCATACATGAGGGCAGGAGAATATTGGTAGATTCATAGAAAACTAATAAATTGTTTTTTTAAAATAAAAGTTTAGATTGAGATAAGACTGCCCATGTGGGAAGAACAAAATTTTGATGCATCAGATGCGGTACATCTTTTTTTTAAAAGAAGAAATTTTTTCAATGTGACGAGAATTTTTTTTTAAAAAAAGTGGTGAAATTTTTTTTAAATGTGGAAAAAAAAATGTATGCAGTTAAATACATCTAATGCACCGAAATTTTGTTCGTGTGGGAACACCATTCACTTCAATTTAAGATTAAAAGGAATGTGACAACCCTAATGTCGACATCAATGATTGATATCTTGGACTGAATATGGGACGCAGTGACTGCCAATCCACGCTCTGAAGAGCAACTACAGCAAACAAACTGTTTAGGATTAGAGGCATGTTACCCTTATAAAAAGCCCTTCTCTGACAGCATGGTTCTGCAAAAGAAAATCAGCTTGAGTTTATTCACATACTTGTTTAGGTGCTTAAATAGACTTTGGCTGCTACTTGTTAATGGCAAAGTTGGCAATCTCAATCTCGTTCTTGTCCTTGATACTGTTAGCACTAGCAAATTGTTCAAATGCTGGTGGAATTGCTATCTACTGGGGGCAGAATGGTAATGAAGGCACACTAGCAGAGGCTTGTTCCACTGGGAACTATGAGTTTGTTATCTTGGCCTTTCTACCAACATTTGGCAATGGCCAAACTCCAATGATAAATCTAGCTGGGCATTGTGATCCCTACAGTAAGGGGTGCATTGGGTTAAGCACTGACATAAAATCATGCCAAGCCAAAGGCATCAAGGTATTGCTGTCTTTGGGAGGAGGTGCCGGTAGCTACTCACTTGCATCCCCACAGGATGCAAGGCAAGTAGCAACTTACCTTTGGAATAACTTCTTGGGGGGACAATCTTCTTCTAGGCCACTTGGGCCTGCTGTTCTTGATGGCATTGACTTTGACATTGAAGGAGGCTCAAACTTATATTGGGATGACCTTGCCAGGTACCTCAAAGGATATAGCAAGGAAGGCAAAAATGTGTACTTGACAGCAGCTCCTCAATGCCCATTTCCTGATGCTTGGATAGGAAATGCCCTCAAGACAGGTCTTTTTGATTGTGTTTGGGTCCAATTCTACAACAACCCTCCTTGCCAATACAGTCCAACTGCATTTAACAATCTTGAAGATGCATGGAAACAGTGGACATCAGATATTCCAGCCAAAAAGATCTTCTTGGGGTTACCAGCTTCACCTGAGGCTGCAGGCAGTGGATTCATATCTGCATCTGATCTTACTTCCAAAGTGCTTCCAGCAATTAAGGGTTCTTCCAAATATGGAGGCGTTATGCTGTGGTCCAGATACTATGATGGTCAGAGTGGATACAGTTCCTCCATCAAGAGCCATGTCTAATATCTATACTTAGTATTGTATATTGGTGTATGTAATATATATAATATATAATATACATTCTTGTACTTTCGTTTCTCCTCTCAACTATATTACCTGTATGCACTGTAAACATGTTTTCCTTACACGGCATATAAATTATTTTGAGAAACAAGTATTTTGAGAACCACTCGTGATAAAATATATTAGATGACCGTTTATAAAAGTAAAACTGAGATATCAGAGTTTAATCCAAATTTTATTATATGGCCTGGAATTTTTGCACACCACCTAGTGGCACATATCTGATATCGGTGTGCAAGAAGCTTTCCTTTAGTAGGAAAAGACAAATCCTGATCCAATTTAAACTCTGATTAGATATTTCTATCGCGAAAAAATAAACAAATTATACTAACTGTGTCATATATGCGTACATTATGTAAGTGTAAAACTAATCAACAATAAAATTTTCATAAGAAGCCACTAAGACGGTAGTGGTGAGAAATTTAGATAGATTGTATCAAGTTATGTGTTTAATTTTTATTTATATTAAAAAAATAAAATGTTCATAAAATAATGGTCAATCATAAAATCAATTTTATCTACAAATTTTATTATGATGCTGTTTTCTCTCGTCATACCTTGACATTTTCATTATTTTTTATTATCTTCTTTTTAAATAATTGCTACATTTGAGCATATTTTTTATGCATAGGGCCACCAAGTTTTTGGATAGTCCTTAATGTAAATGAAAGGGTAAAAATAAAAAAGTAAAAAAATACATGAATAAAAAGAAAATAAAAAGTAATCTTGTGAGTGGGAGCATCAAAAAATTTTGGTGCTCCTTGGCATATTAAATATTTTGGCTTCACTTAAACAATCAAAATCTTTTATTTTATTTTCCATTTTTCTAATTAAATATATTTTTTTCCTTCTCTTACAATGATTATTTTATATTTTGGGTTTAATTATCTATAAAAATATATTTTACTGAGACCAATAAAATAAGCCAGAAAATTTTGATGAAGTACTTATATTATTTTTTTAAAATATTACTCTCATGTTAATAGTCTATTAAGCAATCAGAGATTAAATGTGAAACTCACTTTATATTTTTTTATTTTTTCTGTCTTTTATTTTTATTTTTTTGGTAAACTATTTTTTTTTTAATTTGTCAATATATGAGAAATTTTTCATATAATATAAGAGTATATTCTCTTACCTTTTGTATATATTTTTATAAGTTTAATATTTCTTACATTACAGGAGATAAAATTATTTTATATATATATATATATATTTATATATGTAATTTTTTTTTTCACTCTTTTTTTCATATGTTCCACGTGCCCACACTCTTATAGCAGATAAAATTATCTCAGGCATTAAACCTTTTTTTTATCTTATTTTATTTGCTTTCTTTCGTCGTACAGATGACTGAGGCCATGGACGCTGTTTGAAATCCTCTGCTCCTACTTGTTTTTCTGTTGCAGCCCTTTGGTAATGTTTTCTGTTTGTTTGCCGAAAAAATATAATTTGTTGCTCCAATAAATTTTCACTGCAATTTTTTCTTCATAGATGTTGCATTCGAAGCTTATCTTTGATTTTGTGAAAAACAAAACGCATGTCCACACGATACCCCAAATGTTATTTCCTTCTTCCATTTCTAATCCTCTATTTTCTTATAAAACACCCAGATAAGAAATTGTTTAGTTGAAGTCCAATTTTGCTAATTTTGATGGGAAAATAAAATCTTTTTTTTTTTTTTTTGTATGAATTTGCAGATTACGGTTTTGAAGCTTCATAATTTCCATTCATGTATTGGCATTTATGCAGGAATTTTCTCTGGAGAAAAGGAATCATTTTTTGGCTCCCCAAAAAATGGTGCAAGGTGTGACATTGAGCACTCTGGCAACCTGTGGAAAGAGCAGGTTCTGTGGATCATCCCCATCTTGGATGGAACCCTTTGAGCCATTTAAGAGGTCCAAGATAACCTCTATTACTGGCAGACATTTGGTTTGGAATCACTGTGTGCAGAGCTTGTTCCTAATTGGGTACCCTTATGTGGCAAGGCACAGTGATTTTAAGGCTGAAGCAGCATGGATGTTTAGAGGGGGAGAGCAGGGGTTGGATGCAAGTGCTGAGCACAGTGAAAGTGCTAATGAGGATATCTTGATGTTCTTCTTTCAGCTAGACTTGGCCACAAGAGTACAGGTCTGGCTACTTTTACTCTACTGTATGCAGTTAAGTGGTGTAGTGCATGTGCATCTCTCAAAATTATGGAAGAATTCTTAATATTTCATTTGTTTGGAATTTCTGAATATCAGTATGCTTTAAATTTGGAGCAGTATGACATTGCTCAGCAGCTGAGGAACAAACTTACTGAGGTTAGATAAGCCTCCCACTAATCCTATTCTGGTATCCTATATACCAAGCCATGTGAATTATGTTTTCAAGTTTATCTGAAGTAGATTTTATACTTTTCAGTTTCTGTCAGTGATTTTATTTTCTTTTGTATTTTTGTTGGCCCTGAATTGTGTGTACGCTTCTAGTCCCTCTATAACTTGAAGCAGTAGCATGTGTATCAGTGTATGTCTCTTTGTTTATATATATGTCTTCAAGCTATCTAAATTTTGTGGAATTGGAGCATTGAATGACTTGCAGCTTGCCTGATAAATATTGTTTTTGGAAGGTTGAAGAAGAGGTAATCAAGCAACAACAGTCAAAAAGAGGATTGTCTTCGAAAAGTGAAGCTCAAGATAAAGCTCTAAGTATTATACGTCTTCGGTGAGTTTTCTTCATCCTTTGTATCAAGCTGACTTGTTCTCAATGATTAACTGGCTTATTTCATTTATTTCTTCCTCACCCATAATGTGTGGGTTAACTTGAATACTGATAGTGACTAATTCTGTTTCCCTTGCAGTTCAGACCTCCAGAAAGCCATTGAGAATGAGGATTATGCCGTTGCTGCTGAATTACGTGATAAAATTTCCAAACTTGAAGCAGAGTCTTTAGCTGCATCAGCTAAAGCTTTGGCACATGAAAATGCTCAATATGCATTCCGCTTGGGACAGAAAGTCAGGCATAAAATATTTCGTAAGTAGTTGAAACGCCTTCCATTGAATATGACAAATTATTATTAATTGCATTTCAAGTGTGCAATGTGATCTAACAATAACAATGGTACTTCTTGGTTGTACTCTGAAGCTTTTCAATAGCAAAAGTTATGATTATGGAGCTATAATTGCCTAACCCAACTGCCTTGGGGGATTTCAAATCTTTATAATGCAAGCAAAAAGAACCTGACTGGCAACACCTTGTAAATTGGAGTCTTTGATATGGTTGTGGAAGATATGATTTCTTTCTCCCTCCCTACATTTTGATTACTTAATCTTCATTGCAGGCTATAAAGCTGTGATCTGTGGAATGGATCCAGTATGCTGTGAATCAAGTTCATGGATGGAAAATGCACAGGTTAAGAAGTTGTCTCGGGGTTCCACTCAACCGTTTTATCAGGTTTGATTAACTTCAGCATATAAATTGCATTTGCATGAATTATTCTGTTTCTATGAGGATCAAATTTTAATTTTTAGCTAATTATCTTGACTTTCTAAACTGTTCACTTCAATTCTTATTAATTCATTGTCGTTCAACCTGCGGAATAGATCGGCAATGCAAATACTGTGCTGTAATTATTAATTAAGCAATAGCATATTGTGAATGATGTAAGTGCAAGAGAGTTCATCACCAATTGTTGTGTGTCTGTTTTTATAAGGTTGTCTTTGATGATTTCTGTTATCATTTTATAGGCTGCATTAAGGTGGTAGGAGGAACATGTGCTTCTTTAAATTGTTTCTCTTCATACCAAGCAGACATTTTGGATGAGACATCTTTTTCATGATTACTTGCATGCAAGACAACTTGATTGGAAATGTATTTATTGTTTATTGATTTATTGCCAGATCATTTTTATCTTATTCTATTAATAGTTGAATTGGCTTTGATTAAGAATTGTACTACCCTTTAATCAGTTTCCCTTTTTCTAATATCCAGGTTCTTGTTGATGTACATGCTGAACCGAATATACTCGTGGCATATGGTAAAACTGAACTATTTAATTCCTTAGGCTTATGTGTTTACTTACATTGGATTTAATGGTCTTTATTATCTACTCTTTCTTGCTGACAAATATTTTGTTATTTATTTGCTATTGCTTATCTATATATTTAACTTACCAGTGGACCAAGTTTATAACTGCTATGATATACAAGGTTTCTGATGTATGAGTTTCCATAATGTTCTCGGTTTTTTGCAGAAAACAAATAACTTACAGATTGATTTTTCTCTTTTTTGCAGTTCCAGAGGAGAATCTTTTAACCCCTGACCAACCAGACACGGTGAGTAGATCTATCATCTATACTAGAAAGACATGTGTCATGCTATTGTTTCTGTCATTTAATTGGTGCTTTTAACGGTGTCCAGGGAAGGTATGATCATCCCTACATCTCTTTTCTATTCTATGGAATGGATTCAGCTGGAGATTTCATCCCAATTAAGCAACTGCGGGAGAAGTACAACAGACCACGGCACGAAATACCTATTGACCCACCAAATGATGAAGATGGAGGGAAAGCTTAGATTAGTAATGTGAGAGTATATATTCACTGTTTATGTGGCCTTCTGGGGACTGAGAAGTTGAAAATCTTGTGACAAATTATTGAAGGAATGGGTTGATCAGCTTGGCAGGAATCATAAATGACATGAAAGCATTCCTAGTGTTACTTGATGATGATGACGGCTTTTCTATATGGTCACTCCCATATTATATTCTGTTGTAGAAGTTTTCAATATGAGTCTTTATCAGCAGTGAAAGTACTGATAACTGAACCTCGCCTCCATATGTATGTACATAGTTATGGAAAAAATATTACCTCCTATTTCCATCCTGAAATGGGAGAGATTGTGTTTGTAATTTAGCATTTTTTTTTTACGGGTGCAACTAATTGCATTGTGATGATCATCTTAATACCATCTGGAGGATTATCTGAGACACAAAACTGAACAAAAGCAGCAGAACTTGTTTTGCAATAAAAAATGCACATATATTACCTTCACACGGGACGAGTCACCTCCTAGCTAAATTGCATGGGCCTTGAATGTCTTTTGCAATGAGATTACTTTTCCATTTTTTGAGTATTAAGGAGGAACTTTGTAATTTGCACATCAATATTTTTATATCATTTTTGCACTTTTTTTATTGGGAAAATAAAGAGTGTATGTTAGGATGTGTGTTTTTCTTATTTTATTATCTAAAAAGGAAGTAGTATGAGTATGATGTATAAGTAACATTATTGATTAAAAAGTGACTAGTGTCAATTGGAAAGGATAAAATTGTAATGATACTTCATTTTTTTTCAACTGATTATATTTACCTCTTGAATAATAATAATAATAATAATAATAATAATTAACTGTAAATTTTGTGTGTGATTTTTAATTGTATGAATAGCATTACCTAAATCTGTATATGTATTTGCTGGAATTGAACTAAAAATTTAATTTTAAAATTATAATTGAGCCTTTAAATTTTAAAATTCACTTCTGAGGGAGGATAGTAATTTTTCAGAACATATAGAAGATCTTATCTCTAAATAACTTGTTTGGATAATTGGGCGAAGAATTTTAAAAGTTCTTCAGTATTTTAACTAGGTTTTTTTTTTTCTGGCAAGGCAAGTTTTTAACTGGGTATTAATTAATCAAAATGAGGAATCCCACCTTACTAGCTGTAACTTTTGAAATCCCACATCCCTTTGTCCCTGTTTCATGGTAAATGAAATAAGTTTCCCAAACTTTGATTTCCAACTTTCATAGCTTCTTTCATCTCAAATTAATTACAGATGTCCAACATCACCTTAGTATCTTTGATTTTGTTGATTTCTATCTGAATCTTACAAACTTCGATTTTATTATATCTCTCCATCTTCATCTACTCTAGACTTCGTGGTTTTGACTTAACAAATTTTCGTCTTGGATTTTCTACTTGGTTTTTATTTTTGGCAGTTTCATTTGTATTTCCTTCTCAAGTAAGCTATGCCTCTAGCTTGGTTTCATTATTTTATTATCATGTTTCATTGCTAGTGTTATGTTTTATTATTAAGTTCTAAGACAAATAGATTAGGTGATGGTTAATTGGAGTAGAGGACGGTGAAATAGCGTATACAATTGTTACACTCGTGTTGTGTATCCCCAAAGGAAAAAAAAAATATGACACTGTACATGCCATTGTTCAGGTCATGTTCTAGTTTAAGGCCACTCACTCAGCTCCATGCCCACCTTGTGGTCACTGGCCTCCACAATGACCCACTTGCCTCTACTAAGCTTCTTGAGTCCTATGCCCAAATGGGTTGTCTCCAATCATCAAGACTCGTTTTTTATGCTTACCCTTCTCCTGATTCTTTCATGTTTGGGGTTCTCATCAAGTGTTACCTCTGGAACCACTTGTTTGACCAAGTGGTTTCACTTTACCATCATCACATGGGTTCCCAGCTGACCCAGAACTGCAGCTTTCTGTACCCTTCTGTTCTGAGGGCTGCTTCTGGTGCTGGTGACTTGGTTATGGGCAGAAAAGTGCATGGAAGGGTAGTTAAATCCGGGTTTAGCACGGATCATGTTATCGGAACTTCATTGTTGGGTATGTATGGGGAATCATGTTGTTTGAATGATGCTCGGAAGGTGTTTGATGGAATGGTTGAGAGAGATTTGGTTTCCTGGAGTTCCATAATCTCATGTTATGTTGAGAATGGGCAGCCAGGCGAAGGATTGGGAATGTTTCGTTGGATGGTTTCTGAGGGAATTAGACCTGACTCGGTTATATTGCTTAGCATAGCTGAGGCTTGTGCCAAAATTGGTTGTTTGAGGCTAGCTGAATCAGTTCATGGATATGTGATCAGAAAAGACATGGCTGGTGATGCCAGTTTGAATAATTCTCTTATTGTTATGTACAGCCAGTGTGGTTACTTGTGTAGAGCAGAAGGGCTCTTTGAAAACCTGATTGATCGAAGTACTGCTTGTTGGACTTCCATGATTTCATCCTATAATCAAAACGGGTGCTTTGAAGAAGCAATTGGTGCTTTTATTCAGATGCAGGAGTCAGAAGTAGAACCCAATGCAGTGACAATGATTAGTGTTCTGTATTCCTGCACTAGATTAGGCTTGCTAAAAGAGGGAAAGTCAGTTCATTGCTTTATTTTAAGGAAAGAAATGGATGCTGCTGATCTTGATCTAGGGCCTGCACTAATAGATTTCTATGCTGCATGTTGGAAAATAAGCATTTGTGAAAAACTTCTTCATTTAATTGGAAACAGCAATGTTGTATCATGGAACAGGCTCATATCATTTTATGCTCGGGAGGGTTTGAACGAGGAGGCCATGGTACTCTTTGCACATATGTTTGCAAAAGGGCTAATGCCAGACTCATTTAGCTTAGCAAGTTCTATTTCTGCAACTGCAAGTGCTGGCTCAATACAATTCGGACAGCAGATACACGGCCATGTCATGAAAAGAGGCTTCATGGACGAATTTGTTCAGAACTCCTTGATGGATATGTATTCAAAATGCGGTTTTGTTGATTTGGCATACACAATTTTTGACAAGATTATGCAGAAAAGCATTGTGACATGGAACTGTATGATTTGTGGGTTTTCTCAGAATGGCATTTCAGTAGAAGCACTCAACCTATTTGATGAGATGTACTTCAATTCTCTGGAGATTAATGAAGTAACCTTCTTAAGTGCAATTCAAGCTTGCTCCAATTTGGGTTACCTTGAGAAGGGAAAATGGATTCACCATAAAATCATTGTATCTGGTGTACAGAAGGATCTTTATATTGACACAGCTCTGGTTGACATGTATTCCAAGTGTGGAGACCTTCAAACAGCCCAAGGAGTTTTTGATAGCATGCCAGAGAAAAGTGTGGTGTCATGGAGTGCCATGATTGCTGCTTATGGCATACATGGTCAATTAACTGCTGCCATCTCACTCTTCACTGAAATGGTAGAGTCAGATATTAAACCAAACGAAGTAACCTTCATGAATATCTTATCTGCCTGCAGGCATGCCAGATCAGTGGAGGAAGGGAAATCATATTTTAACTCAATGAAGGATTATGGCATAGTGCCCAATATAGAACATTTTGCCTCTATAGTTGATCTTCTAAGCCGTGCTGGGGATATCAATGGAGCATATACAATAATTAAATCAATGTGTCTGCCTATAGATTCTAGCATATGGGGTGCTCTTCTGAATGGATGTCGAATACATGGGAAGATGGACTTGATTAAAAACATATATAAAGAACTTGGGGAAATAAATACAGATGATACAGGGTACTATACTTTGTTATCTAACATATATGCTGAAGGAGGAAACTGGTATGAATCCAGAAAGGTGAGATCAAAGATGGAAGGAATGGGCCTAAAGAAGGTCCCTGGGTGCAGTACAATTGAAATTGATAGGAAAATATACAGATTTGGAGCTGGAGATACTTCTGAATGGCTAATGAAAGAAATTTACATGTTTTTAGAAAATTTTCAAAGTTTGGCACAAGAACAAGGATGTGATGTAGAATTCTATAGTGCAATGTATGGTACTGGTATGTTTTTTGAGGATTATAGTGTTTATAGCTTGCAGAAAGATAGTCATGTGATGTGAGTTACAAATCTCCTAGTAAATTACAGCCATTATGTGAAAGTTGATAATAAGATCAAAGATTAATAATAGGTGTAAAACTTTTTAAATCTTTCATTAATTTTTTTTTTTATATCTTTAAGAAGATAATTTTAATTTTAATCAATTTTAAATATTTTCTTGTTATTTTGAAAAATTAAAGATAATCATAGAAAACCTGACTAACATTGAACTTTTGGAGCATTTATGTTGTCTTTTTCATAAGATTAAATTTCCATTATAAAAAATTAATTTTAGGTGCTCTTTTTAAATATTAAGAAATTAAATAGAAATTCGATGGTAATTAAATAAATTAGTAAAATAATTTATTTAAATTTAAAAAATACTCAGAATTTTTAGGCTATTACGTTGAAAATGACTCGTATAAACCCAAACTAGATATTATGCGGCGTCTGGCTTTCAGCAGAAATTGCTGGGGCAGTTAAAACTTGCAACAATGCCGAAGTCCGAGCCAATACATAAAATGAGATTAACGTGTTATAAGCGAGATAAAATTATTTTTTATAATAAAGAAAAAAAAATATTTCTACAGTTAATCCAGATAAGTTATCTGCATTTGTTTCCAAAACGATGTCGTTTTGAGATTAAGAGATTAGAAAATTATAATTATAAAGACTATAATAACCCTGAAATAAATTAAAATTACAAATATGCTATGATTTTCGTCTCAAAACGACGTCGTATTGGACTTACTGCAGATTTATTAACTGCAGAAAAAGCGAACTCAATAAATAAAAATGTACGGAACTGATATTGAATTTTTTTTTCTCTTCTCTTTACATAATCTCATACACTTTTATGTGTATAAAAAGATAAAATTAGCATACCAAAAAAAGAAAAAAAAGATAAAATTAACTCTTACAAGAAACAATAATTCCATAAAAAATTCTTCTAAAACAAAACATGTTTTGCACGCCGACGCAATTATATCAAAGTGATAATTTATTGAGTTGAAGTAGAAGATGGAATTATATATATATATATATATATATATATATATATATATATATATATATATATATATATATTAATAGATTAGCTTTGAAGCTTTCATCATTAAGTCACTTTAAGGCGCATGTTCAAAAGAGATGTTGCCAAGAAACAATTGAGCTCAATGCCGTTTTTTAATCAAATAGGCATGAAACCCTTTTCTTCTGTTGTAAATATATATGTTAGCTAGATTACTCTCGTGCACGCCGTGATTAAGTGCCTAATTGTAAGTTGATTCTTCATTCATCGTATTGAACAACGTCAACCCTTGTTCCCAACACAACAATTATATATGGAAATCCACAACATCACATTTCTATCAATCTGAAGGTAGCCAAGTTGTCCCTCTCATAAAACTCTTAAGCCATTTTTTGTGGGTCGTAGACTTAGCTCTAATAACCTGTTGGCAATGCACTCTCTCTGTCCCCACTAAAGGAAGTGTATTGGATTAGGATTTTAAAAGACTTTTTTTGAGCTAAAAAATCTTACAGATTTTAAAAGACATTTTAGAATTGGAGAGACTTTATAGATTTTTTTAAAAGACTTTTTTTACAATCAAGATTTCATAGGATTAGATTTTAAAGAATTTTAATAGACTTCATAAAATTTGAAAGGACAATATGGATTTATAATATTTTAAAAAACTATATGAATTTTTAACAAATATTCAAAATTACAAGAGTCAATAAAAATAAATAACAAAGAAATGCAATGATATTAATAAATAAAAAATTTAAACTTAACAACGGGTTGAAAATTATCTCAAAAATTACTAAGCAACAACTCTCCACATATCAATAAAATCTAATATAATTTTTAACAAACATTCAAAATTACTAAGCAACAGCTCTCCACATATCTAGAGCTATACTAGTCCTCTAAGCATTAGCATCTTCTCGTTCCTGCTCTTGGGTTTGACCAACGGGTTAAAAATTATCTTCTTCATTAACTGGTGATACTGAAGATGAAGATGCATCTATTGATTCAATTGGAAATTCATCTGTACGACATTCTTTGCGAAGAAAGTTGTGTAGTGCTACACATGCTAACACAAGCTCTGCTTGTTTCAAATAGAAATGGAGGTGCTGACTTAAAAATTGTGAATCGTGATTTAAAAATGTCAAATATCCTTTCAATTACATTTCTCAATGATGCATAACGAAGATTGAACAATTCATTTGCATTTTGAGGGTCATTACCATGACCTGTAAAATCTTGTAGATGATATCGCACACCTCGAAATGGAGCTAAAAATTGACGTCGATTGGGAAATCCACAATCCACAAGAAAATATATAATATCGTGAATTATATATATATATATATATATATATATATATATATATATATATATATATATATATATATGGACAAAAATAAAAAGAAGAAAATAAAATCCCACGTGAATAACTCAAATAATTCAATAAAAATACAACCAATAAATAGTTCAACCAAATTATAACCCAAATACTATAACCAAAATAGTTCAACCAAATTATATCCCAAATATTTCAACCAAATAACAACCAAAATAACATAAAAGAATATTAATCACCCTAGCTTGAAATTTATACAAGAAAAGCGCTCTTCTAATGACATGCTCAAGAACAAGTCCTTCTTTGCTTTAGTATTAAGCAAATCAACTGCCAAGAATCGAGTCTTATCCTCCAAATTTGGAATCTCTTTTATAGCATTCCAAATATTACCTTCTCTTTTTCTATCTCTTTCTCTTTCCTCCATTAGTTTAGACACTTTTTCCAAATTGCTAGCAATAGTCCCAATGCCAATTGAAAGATTTTCTAGAACTTTAGCTTGATTTTTGGTCCCAACTGAGGTAGAATCCCCTTCATATTCAGATCTACTTCGCTTACTGTGACTTTTTTCTTCAGTGTGAATCTCTGAATCTAAAGTGAAATGAGATGGTTGACTACATTGGTAGGATGATAGAGAATGGTCGAGTGGTTCATAGTGATTTGGTGTTATGAAGGCATCGTTGATAGGATCATACACAAAGTCTTCTATCCTGGAATCCCTATTTTCTTCTCCAAGAGTTGTAGCATCGGTATCATTAGTGCCTAATGCAATGGAACCATTCCCAGTAGCAGTTGCACCACCAAAGACAATCTTCAATTCTTCATAATCAATTGCACTCTTTTCACTAAGCTTGTCGTGACTTGGATGAGACTGGAAAATAACAAAAATTTTCTATGTTAATATGTTACAAAGAATGTAATGTACTAATTTAGTAAGCTACTAAAATACCTTCAAGTAATCTTCCCATACTTCATCACTAGCAGTGAACGTCTTTGTAACTGCGTCCCACCCAAAGCCAGAGTTGTTACGCATAAGCGTCGACATTTTGTTATATTGGTTCTTCAACCACTTTAGCCTACTCAAGTAATGATTATAAGTTTTAGGAAACCTAGACTTTGCATTAAGATGATGAAGTATCACTCCTTCTACATTTTGTTTGCTAAGTGATCCGTTAGCATCACGCAATCCATTGTTGATAGCATCCACCAAGAGGTGCAACAATTCATTAGTATCATTCATGGTCCAAGATTCATAGTTCTCTTTCTCTTTGCCCTTTCCTTTCTTAATTCCTTGGTGTGAATCCCCCATATACTATAATAAGATTAGAACTAGACAATAATTAAATATTTTTAAATGAGATTAATATCAACACAATTTAAAAACATGTTTATTCAAATGAGTAAACCAAACTAACGTTAGATAGTTCAATCAACAAAAAAAAAAAAACTGATACTAATGATTAGGAATCAAAACCTGTGATTTAACGTTTATTTTTTGCAGGATCAAACAATTTTTTGTGATTGATTAAAAAATTTATATATTATTAACGTTAAAACAATTTTTTTTGTGATTGGATCAAACATATTTAACGTTTTATATTATAGTGATTGGATCAAACATTAACGTTAAATATGTCAAACAATTTTTATTTCTGGATTTTTAAATTAATAAACGTTAACCATTAAATATGTTTAAACATTAGTGCCCAAAAAATCAAAACCTGTAAACATGTTTAACGTTAACGTTAACTTTAAAAATTGTTTAAATAATTATAGTGTATAATATGTAAAATTATGTGTGTAAACAATTTTTTGCAGGATCAAACATGTTTAACGTTTATTCAAAAGAACCATTACTTTATGGTAGGAATCAAAACCTAAAAGAGTCAAAATCAATTTTTTAATCAATCAGAAAATATAAGAACCATACTTTATGGTAGGAATCAAAACCTAAAAGAGTCAAAATAAAAACCAATAATAGACGACAAACAGGGAGTCAAAAAACCTAAAAAAATACAGACAGCAAAAAATAATGAATCACATCGTTAATTATGAAAGAGGAATACAAAACCCTGATAAATACAGACGACAAACACTAGGGGTGTACAAAAAAATTGATTCACTTGCTATGCCCTTGATCTGACCTTGACCCTACCCATAAATACCCATATTTTTTGAACTGGTTTAAATACTGACCCACTTTTATTTGGGTCATTTTTAGACCTGACACGTTTTAATATTGACCCACTGACCCAAAACTACACCCATATCCATTATGTGAAAAAAAAATCACAATTATTTAAAAGAAAAGTTTTAACGTAAAACAATTACGTCAAAATTTTTTATGAAAAATATTTTAATAAAAATTTTCGCAAAAATTTTTGACAAAAAATATTTTCATCAAAATTTGTGACTAAAAACATATCAGTAAAAAAATTTGACGGAATATTTTTTTTGTCAAATTTTTTTACGGAATCTAAATTTCGTCAAAATATTTCACAAAAAAATATATTCATAAAAACTTTCGACGAAACACATTTTCATCGAAATTCTTTGACGGAAAAAAATTTCATCAAAATTCTTTACAGATTTCAAATTTCGGCGAAAGTTTTCGACGGAAACATTTTCATTAAACTTTTTGACAAAAAAAAATTTCGTCGAAATTTTTAGTGAAACACATTTCTAACAAAAATTTTCGACTAAAAATTTTCGTCAAGTTTTTTGATAAAGAATATATCCATCAAAATTTTCAACGGAACACATTTCTGTAAAAAAAATTCGTAAAAATTTTTGACAGAAATATTTCGATAAGAAATTTTGACAGAAAAAATATTTTGTCTAAATTCTTAATCTAAATTTCGTCGAAATTTTCAAATGAAACATTTTCCTCAAAACAATTTCCATTGAAAATTTCGACGAAACACATTTCCATCAAAAAAATTTGACGGAAAAAAATTTCATTAAAATTCTTTACAGATTTAAAATTTCGGCGAAAGTTTTCAACGGAAATATTTTCGTCATCAAAAAATTTTGACGGCAAAAAATTTCATAAAAATTCTTTACAAATTTCAAATTTTGGCGAAAGTTTTTGACGGAAACAGTTCGTCATCAAAAAATTTTGACGGCAAAAAATATCGACGGCAAAAGATTCATCAAAATTCTTTACAGATTTCAAATTTCGGCGAAAGTTTTCGACGGAAATATTTTCGTCATCAAAAAATTTTGACGGCAAAAAATTTCATCAAAATTCTTTATAGATTTCAAATTTTGGCGAAAGATTTCGACGGAAACATTTTTGTCATCAAAAAATTTTGACGGCAAAAAAATTCATCAAAATTCTTTACAGATTTCAAAATTCGGCGAAAATTTTCGTTAAATTTTTTGACAAAAAAAATTTTCGCCGAAATTTTTAGCGAAACACATTTCCATCAAAATTTTCTTCTAAATATTTTCGTCAAGTTTTTTGATAAAATATTTCCATCAAAATTTTCAACGAAACACATTTCTATAAAAAAATTCCGTAAATTTTTTTGACAAAAAAGATATTCTGTCAAAATTCTTTAGAGAATCTAAATTTCGTCGAAAGTTTCAAATGAAACATTTCCCTCGAAATAATTTCTGTCAAAATTTTCGGTAGAACACATTCTCATCGAAATTTTTAACGAAAAACATTCCGTCAAATTATTTGACAAAATTTTTTTTCGTTTAAAACATTTGATGGAAGAAATCATTTTCGTCAAAACTATTGACGGAAACTAAATTTCAATAGAAATTTTTTTTTTTTTAAAATTTCGACGAAATATAATTTTGTGACGAAATTTTCGTCTTTTGCAACGTAAAAATTTCTACAAAATTTTGAGAAAACCAAGTCAAAAACGGGTCAGGTCAGATTTGACCCAGTTCAGAAACCAAGTCAGACCCACTTCTGAAACCAAGTCAGGTCAGATCCAAACTGGTTCTGAACTAGTTCAACAAAATCCAATACAAGTGAGACCTGACTTGGATCAAATTAAAGCGGGTCGGGTCAAAATACCTGACATATAAAAACTAAGTTGGGTCGAGTCGGACAAAAACCTGACCCGACCTGACCCATGCACAACCCTAACAAACACAATCATTAAGCAGGAAGGAGGAATAAACTTGAAAAAATATGAGAGAAAAAGAACATACCTTGGTTTTGAGAAAAAAAGGCTATAGTAGATTGTGAAATGCTATTGAGAGGAATCTCAAGAAATCCTAGAGGTTAGGGTGAGATTGTAAGAGAAGCATCCTATTTATATTTTTCACTAAAAAGTCTCACGAAATCCACACCAATAGAAAATCCATTAAAATCATCGGATTTTTGAATACCACGAGATTGTGATTCCATCGTTTGAAATCCTGATTGAATACCAACGGATTTGGACGGATTCTAAAATAATCCTTTAAAATCCTAATCGAATACTAACAGATTTTTTTATTTTTTTTTGGAGTTACCCAACCCTAATTATCTCTTTGAGACGAGTTGGCTCCCTCCGGTATCCCCACGAGCTTCGACTCTTTGAGCCGGCTATAGGACTAATCCGGAGTGCGGGGGAACAGTGATGGCTAAAGGTTCAGCCCCCTCCCCAAAAATACATTCAGCGGGAATCGAACACATATCCAACCCCACTAACTCAGCGTCAAGTTACCAACTGAGCTGCACCCATTGGGTAATACCAACGGATTTTTTTGTCCAAAAACAATCCATTAAAATCCTTTGAAATCCCAATCCAATATCATTAACACATTCTTTTTAATTAATAATAGAAAGAGTAATATAAAATCCACTCTTATATATTAAGTTCAAATGTATTCTCTTAAATTAAGAATAGTTAAATTATGTTAATATATCTTTCTTAAAAAAGACGAGTTGTTTTTGTTTTTATTTTAAAAATTTTATATGTAAATTATTTTAAATTAAGCATACATATCTTTTTGATAATTTTAAATATTTTGGTAATACTTACTCTTTAAAATTTTACTCAAATTAAACATGTACATTTTTATAATTTAAATATTTCTCTCAATTTATATTTTTATATTTTACCTAAATTTAGAAATACTCATATACAGTATATGAATAAGTACTAGTTTGCATTTATTCCATAATGCTAAACAAATGAATTTGGGATTCATATTATAAAGAATTTGATATTATAAAAAGTATATATTTGATATTGGCAAATTAGCAATAACAATATTAATTAATTTTTAAAAATTAATACAATTATTTGACAGTCTTAAATGCGTTGCTTTTCTTATATTTGTATTATATTTTTTTTTAAATTTATTTTGCTCTAGGTCCTTAATAATCAAATTACATCCAATTATATTCTTTTACTGAACTTTTATTTAATTTCTTCTATGTTAAATTTTTTCTATCCAATACTATTGTAGCAACAATTACTCAAAACCACGAGTTGAGTTTTAATTTTTTGCCAATAGTACTACACCGAATTTTATTTTATTTTATGACTCACCTTCGGATGAATATATCTAGTTAAAATCTAATGGGATAAAAATACAGCGAAGAAAGAAAAAAAACAGAGTAAAATATTCTCAAAGGACTTACTTCACCCCATATCTCAAGGAACATATTTTCGGTACTCAAACAATAAGTACTTTCTTTTCTGAAATGAAAGAAAATAATTATAAAAATAAAAAATAATATAAATATATTATTTTTTTCTATATTTAATAAAATATATATTGAAAGTGAGGATTGATATTCACAGGTCAATAAATAGCAACAATGGGTGGCGCAGGGTCAACCCCGAAGATTTGATATTCACAAGTCAGAAAAAAAGGTAGGTGAATGAAAAGGACAAAATGGATCAAATCAGAGGACTGAATTTGGGGTGTGAAATATCTTAAGTTATGAAATTTGGATTTGTAAAAAAGTAATTATGTGATTAAATTATTTGATCATAATCACTCATTTAAAAATTATATATTTTTGTCTCTCTTATCTCATCATTATTCATGAGTAATTGTGATTGTGATCAAATAATATAATTATATAATTATTTTTTCATGTAGAGAATCAAATCTTAAATTAAGTGTGTGCATTGGGGAATGAAAAGAAAAGTACATTTCATTGTGGTTGTGTGGATAAGACTTTTGAGAGTGAAAGAGGAGGAGAGATGGGATCAAGTACTTACCAACAACAAGAAGGAAACAGAGACACACACAGCCAATAAGAATGAGTCTTTATTTTAGTAATAAGCATCAATTCCAACAACAACATCAACAACACCGACGCATCTTTAACACTGCGACTGCTACCTA